CGTTTTAATTACACAATAGATTATGTTAAGCATTGCAATATTTCTATTTAATATATTAGTCCAATAGCAAGCTCATCTCTAACTTTTAAAAAAGATCAAATCAATCATAACCTCTTATTATCGGTGCTTAATTAGCGATCGACACCAAAACATTTAAGTATATGTAAATGTTAAATCAATATAACCTCTCTTGATTCCTATTATTCCCTTGCAGTTCCACATGAGGTCCATGCTGGAAGAGGCAATATGACTGATTGCAACATTATGAAGTTAGATTTTGTTTTCATACTTGAATGGAACGAAAATTCCGCGAAAATATATTTTATGAGGATTACATGATAACTTAATGAAGATTTGCACAATTTTTGTCACTAGATGCTAAAGATAATAAAATATTAAGTATCAACTTATTCTTTTTTAAAGGGTTGGGGACCGAAATATTAATGGTAGAATAAGTTAGTGAGCTATGCGGCAATTTTTCCTAGAATCTAATTAGTTGTACTTTCAACTTATTTAAAAGTAAAAAAATCTAGAATAGTCACTTATAAGGTCAAAAATCTAGTGAAAGGAGTAAAACCCCACTAAAAAAGAGATTGTACAATATTCTCCCGCTTGCGATTTTCTATAGGCATAATCATAATCGAGATATTCTTAGTTCGCACAATGACACAAGGCACACCATCAGGCACAAAGACGTGCAAACATAATTGAGGTATTCCTAATTCACACAAGCTATATTTTTGGACGTAAAATAGGGCACGATCATGATTCACTCACGTTGGATCTTTTGATCAGTATAATGATTGTTCTAATGCAGAGAATCATTTTCAAAGGCACTGAACTAGTACTATTATGATCCAAACCCTTATATCATCAATATGTCATTTTGATCGTATAATCCATAGTTGTAGTGAAGTTTGCATGGCGCAAAAAGGATTTGACATAAAATTTGTTCAATTCCACACAAGAAACATCTTAGGACATAAAATAGGGCTCGATCATGATTCGCTCAA